TGAGGTCTATGTGTAGTGCTACAGCTGTTTAATTGATGTTCAGTTACTGTGTAAGTGTTTTAATGTGTGTTTGTGTGGGTGGGTGTTGCCAATTTTAAATGTGTTTAGCATTTTGAATGGTTCTTGTTTTCCCAATAACTGCAAGAGTTTTAATTCTTGAACAAAGTGTGCAAGGTAAGAAACTGTGTGCAGTGTTTTGCACTGTGTGTTGCAGAATGGATCATAAGTGCAAAGCTGGAAATGTGTTTGTATTTTTGGTGTCTGTGTGGAAGGCATGACACAAACGTCCCTGCTTCATGTACGGTAAAGTGTATTTGCTAAATCTTTTTGCACTTTGTTGCATGTAGTTTTTTTGATACACCAACTTTCTACCTCAGCCAAGCGTAAAACGTTTTAGCTTGTCCAGCATTTCCACTCATGGTTGGATGGAAGTGCACTTGCTGCCGTTCGGCTCAGTCTCATCCAGAATCCAGCTGCTGTAAACTGAAGAGCGTCTTAGAGAACAAAACAACATACGTGATTTGTCATTGCCTTTAAAAACACAGTATTTTTTAATCTGGTGTCCCAGCACAGTATGTCAATGCCTTCAAAAAATCTGCCATGGCTATGGTTAAAGTTTAGTTAGATTTATACACAAAAAACATTTGTTTAGTGTTAGGAAAAGATTGTGGTCATGGTCAGAAGAAACCAATGTAGACATGTCACACACTTTGTTGACCCATCCATCCAGCCTGGCCTACTCCAGATCTGCTCTTTATCTGTAAATGCAAATGCAGGTCGTATTTAGACATTTCAACTGTGGGAACACCTCAGATCTGTAGCAACAGCAGGGCCCCAGCGGATGAAATTTTCTTATGTCTTATGAGTGCAATTCTAAAAGGAATGCAGCCATGAAAAGATTATTAGCTACATCTACTCTATATCAGATCATTTAAAATGTCTGCTGAAAGAAAAGTCCATTGTGTCCTGGCTTTGTTTACTGTTGTTTTCTACTTTTAGGCTGAAAAACAATAGGCTTCTTATTTTGTTCACCCCTTTAAAAAAGCGGTTAATAAGACAAAGTCTTTCTTCTGGTCTTCAATGCACACTGATTCCACTCTAACAGCTTTCTGTATGTCACCTAATGAAAGAGCATTGCTATGTTAGCATTAGCTTGCACTGTGTCTGGACCAATTTAGGTCAAGATAGAAGAGGCTTAAAACTAATTGGGGTGATTTAGTCAAGTAAAAGCTCTGCACAGGTGTCTTTGTATATTCTTGCTGATTAGACCTCTGCTCAGGTTTAAGATGGGCAGTGCTATGTGCTGGAATTATGTGGCATCACCAAACTTGATGAACTATAAGAATGATAAAGGTTGCAACTGGTGCAACCAAACAAATATGAGGTTGAGGTTTATGTTAACCAAGCATAGCCTAGCGAGGCCTACTCAGGCACACAAAGTAAGAAAAACCTGTGTGACTGAACCCTGGGCCTTTCACAAGAAAAAGAGAAAGAGAAGTACAGAAAAGGGGAGGGAGGGAAAAAAAGAAATACTCATTCACAGTTGTTGTAGCCAAATAGATGCTATCAGCAGAAGAAATTAAGCATTCAGCATGTTTTAGCAAACATGACCTGAATCTTAAAGTAAGAATTTATCTTAGAATCTAAACTTAATGCCAGTCAATCAATCACACCCATTGTTCAAGCTGTTACACAACACTATTAAAGGATCCAGGAGTCCCTTCTGGATCTCTATTTCTGTGTCTGTTGCAGTAACATATCTTCTATGGGACCTAATCTATAAACTCACCAGTAATTAATAAAAGTTTACAATCCACTGTTAGCTACTGGTCTACTTTAAAGCAATGCCTATAATGAGGGAAAATGTCATTGTTTGGACATGATGTGAGCTATTACACTTGCATGCTGTAATTCAGTAGTCAAAACTTAAAGAGCAACAGTTTGGGCTGAAATCAGTTCTCACCTTGTTACACCTGTATAGAAGTGTTTCCTGCACACTGACGTCACTGCTTCAGATGCAGCGCACCTGAACAGAGCAGATTTTAGAGCAAGAGATTCGAAACGTCAAAGATAATAATCATTTTCAGCTTGGTGTTAAATTTCTCTTTAAAGATCTCCATGATCAAATACTTCAACGAACTAAATAGCCCGTAAAGACTAAATGTCCCTTTCCTGTATGCATTCCATAAGTGAGAGATGTGTTTGGATTTACTGTGGCACGGTATTTAAATGGCAGCTGGGAGCAGACATGCAGAGCTGCAAACAGAGACTGAAAACATCAGAGGCCAAAGCAGCCATGATGGGCTGACAGATGTTTGGGTATTTATATAGATAGATAGAAAGATAGATAGATAGATAGATACTGTATTTTGAATAGATGTGTTTTCCCAATAGTACCCTGAGATTTCATTTTTGAGCTAAGTGTCTTATATATGAAATAGTGTGTAGTGTCTAGGAGCAAGTGTGTTGCAGAAAGGAGCAAGTGTGTTACAGAATTGCAACTAAAGTGCAAAGCAGCGCTTTTGTTTAAGGTATAGTAACAACAACTTCAAGTTATGTTACTTTGGTTTAAGCATGTGTCTATAGTGTTCAAGCAATGGGTGAAAACTGTAACACCTTTGTGCAGCATCACGAAGCACGTAGCCACACAGTCAGAGCTCCAGAATCTGCAACGTGGCCGCCTCACACCTCAACACGCTACACATGCGAGGGCCCGCCCACACTGCTTGCAGCTTTAATTTAGTCTGGTCCAGTCAGATGTGCGAGCGCCCGCCCCCCAGCACACCACACCAAAGGAAAGAGCCCTGGCCACAGCAGTCCTATAGAAGGTGCACAGCAAAGGTTGGCAGATGTTAAAAGATCACAGCCTTCTTAAAAAATATAGCCTGCTCTAACCCTTTTTTCATATCGCCTCCATGTGGCTGGACCAGTCAAGTTTATTGTCCAGTTGTACTCCTAGGTACTTATAGTTGGATACAAGCTTTACATCTGATCCCTGTATGGAGATTGGATGTGGTTTGGGCCTCTTTCTCCTAAAATCAATGACCATTTCTTTGGTCTTTGAGATATTGAGCCTTAGGTGGTTATTGTTGCACCAGTCCACATAGTCACTAACTGTGCCCCTACATTCACTTTCATATCCTCCCCTGATGCAGCCCACAGTATTGGTATGGTATTGTTAATGCATTTCTGCAAGCAGGAGTCTGTACTGAACACATTCACTTTTACCAGCTATTTATTTTAATTCTGGTCCTTCCACATTGCATTGTTAACTTTGTTTGGGGGTAAAAACAAGTTACATGTGGAAGTAAATTGGTGAGATGTGGTTCTATAATAGCAAGTTAAACAAGAGAGGAAGAGAAAAAAGAGGAGTACTGGGAGGATACTTTCCATAAGAAAGCTTGTGGTAGCTGCACTGATCCTCCCCTGTCTTTATTGCTTCTGCCAGCACACTGCAGCCCTCTCAGCCATGTTTAGATTTCTGTTTTCCCATCCCAGCAGAGTGCTCACGTTGTTATTTTCTCCAGCCCAGCCTTGTGGTCAGTGGAACCATGTTTGAGCAGCAAAATGAACACAGGGAGAGCTCCACAGAAAACACACTACTAGACCATATGTTGCATGGCACAACATGGAAGCTCACAAAAGCATTTTACCGGGGAGAGGAGGAGGAAGGAAGCACAGTGGTGAGGAAACGACAGGTGTGGTGAATACACCAGTGCAGATGTCATTTGGTACCACGTTGGTTTTGATTATTTCGATAGGCTTTGTTATTAATGATACTCCTCCACATGTGGTGCACCTGCTGCTGTGAAAACAGAATACCAAAGACAAAAATCCAAAAGACAATTTCTGAGTCTTTTTGGCGACTTTTTAAAACATCCTTCTGGTGGAGAAAGTCAGCAGAGCAAACACATACAGAGAGAGAGAGACAGGAGGAGGCGGGGCTAGCAGGTGTATCTGCAGTGACAGTAGGTGTGGAAAAAAGATAAGTGAAGGGAAAAGCAAGGTGAGCAGACTGAAGTAGTGAGGAAACTCTAAAAAAGGTGGAGTGTGAAGAGCAGAATAAAAATGGTGAAATAAGATATAACCAACTAGAAACAGAAAATATACCCCTCCATCCCACCACCACAGTTACACTGTCATTCTGTGCATGATCATATCATATGATCATATGTGCCATCGTAGCATTACAACAGTCTATTCATTGACTGTTGGAAAGAAACACACTGTATTAGCTCTGTATGCGTTATAATGTGTACAGCATGTCATTGTTTGGACATGATGTGAGCTATTACACTTGCATGCTGTAATTCAGTAGTCAAAACTTAAAGAGCAACAGTTTGGGCTGAAATCAGTTCTCACCTTGTTACACCTGTGTAGAAGTGTTTCCTGCACACTGACGTCACTGCTTCAGATGCAGCGCACCCGAACAGAGCAGATTTTAGAGCAAGAGATTCGAAACGTCAAAGATAATAATCATTTTCAGCTTGGTGTTAAATTTCTCTTTAAAGATCTCCATGATCAAATACTTCAACGAACTAAAGAGCCCGTAAAGACTAAATGTCCCTTTCCTGTATGCATTCCATAAGTGAGAGAGGTGTTTGGATTTACTGCTGGAGCAGACATGCAGAGCTGCAAACAGAGACTGAAAACATCAGAGGCCAAAGCAGCCATGATGGGCTGACAGATGTGTGGGTATTTAGTTCAGCTTTAGTATGTATCTGCACTGAAACAGATAGCAGACGTAGACCTTTCTCCTTTCTCTCTCTCTCGTTGTCTCACACATTTTAGACTCACTAAGTCACTAAGTCAAACAACACATAACATTGTTTATTGTCAGTTATTGTAAACAGGGTTGAGCCTGTCTGGACTATGAATGTACTAAAGACGTGGTGCTAGATGAAAGGCTGGGAGGTTACCAAACACATTAGGAATCAACATCTGGCATCATGAATATCCACAACTGTTATCTTTGCTGTTTTTAACACTAATACAGTAGCCAGGTTGGGCTGGACCGAGGTAGACCGCTCTCCTACGGAGCCATGTTGCTGTGGTCAGTATGGAGTGCAGTACTGCTCCTGACCCCCCTGGAGGCAGTAGAGGTGGACGATGTCCGAGCAGGTAGGGATGACTGTTATACAGAGCCCAACAAGTGCACCACGTGAAAACACAAGCAAATAGCAACACTTCCATACCTGAAGGACGCTCTGTTTGTCTGATTTGGGATGATATATTTCACGGTTAAAATGATGACAGCGTCAGATACTGACCTCGAGTCTGAAACGTAATGGGAAGTGCAGAATTTCAGTTTATCAGTCTGTATGTTTAAGATATTTCTCTTTGATCACTGTGTGTGTGTGTGTGTGTGTGTGTGTGTGTAGGCTGCAGCACAGCTGTGAATGACCTGGTCTACATTGTTGATGGCTCATGGAGTGTTGGCTTCTCTGACTTCGACACGGCCAAGCAGTGGCTTGTCAACATCAGCAGCAAATTTGACATCAGTTCCCACTACACACAGGTACCACAGGAGTCTGTATGTTTGAACCTATGGAGTCTGTTCATGGCCAGTCTCAGTACTATCACCTGATTGTTTCCTCCTGTCAAATCAAGAACTTGGTGTATCTGTGTCCGTACCCAGCTTGCCACAGAATATGAGTAAACCTGCACAGCACCTACTTTGCTTTGTGTCTGCTGTAGGTGGCTGTGATCCAGTACAGCGACACTCCTCGTCTGGAGATTCCTCTGGGGAAACACCAGGCAGGATCAGAGCTCATCCAGGCCATATGGAGCATCGCCTACTTGGGAGGAAACACACAGGCAGGACTGAATCTTTTCTCTTTATAACTCTATCAGTCCGACTTCTATATCTAGGGCACCTATCTGAACATATCCTATGAGTTTTGTGATGATTGGCCCTACGGTTGCTGATTTGTGGTCATTTATGTCCAGAGCCACGCCCCTTTCAAAGAAAAGTAATTGACATATCGATATGCTTTATACAACTTTTAATAGGCTTGATCCAATGATGATTCACTGAAAATTTGTTGGCAATCGGTGCTACGGTCTAGGAGGAGATGTCAAAAATGTGATTTTCAAAAAATTCAAAATGGCGGAAAAAAACTCTAGGCGGACCTTAATAGTCCTTGAGGCTTTTTTGTAGAGCACATTGAGCTGCACCTGTGTGTGAAATTTAAAGTCAATCACACTTACGGTGTAAGAGGCGTGGCCTTTCAAAGTTTGCATTTTTAAGCCTTAATTATAGCGCCACCATGCGGCCGATTGGGTTCATATTTCTATGGAAGCTGATGCACACCATTTCCAGTTATTTCCCCAAGTTTCATGTTTCTAGCTCATTCCAGCTCACGGGAATTTGAGCCGGCGCGGCAGACAACAAATAATAATAATAAATATAGCCGCAAGCGGCGATTCGCAGGTTCATACCTTTTTCCGCAATATCGCGGAATATATATCAAAATTATTTCACACATACGGTTCAACATTTTTATAAAACACATACTGCAAGTTTTGTAATAACTGGACAACCATTTTCTGATCTATAGCTTGATTTGTATCATTCCACATCCAGTTACGATGCATTCATAGCGCCCCCTAGTGGTGGATTTGAATGAGACTTTCAGGGTATGCGTGAGGTGCTGATTTAGACATATCCTGCAAGTTTTGTGTTGATTGGACAAACAATATGCATTTTGTAGCCTGTTTTGTGTTTTATCCCCTGCAGTTAGTTTGCATTTATAGCGCACTCGGGTGTTCAATTTGAATGAAACTTTCAGGGCATGTTTCATTTACTTATGTGGACATATCCTGAGAGATTTATGATGATTTCAGAATGAATATTGGATTTATAGTGTAATTGTGTAATGCTAAGCACCTGTCTTGTGCTTGTAGCGCCCCTAGTGACGTATGTACATCAAACTGTCCAGGTATATCTGGGGCACCTATCTGAACATATCCTGTGAGTTTTGTGATGATTGGCCCTACGGTTGCTGATTTGTGGTCATTCATGTCCAGAGGCACGCCCCTTTCAAAGTTCATTGGTCCATATCTTGAAAAGTAATTGAGATGTCGACATGCTTTATACAACTTTTAATAGGCTTGATCCAATGATGTTTCACTGAAAATTTGGTGGCAATCGGAGCTACGGTCTAGGAGGAGATGTCAAAAATGTGATTTTCAAAAAATTCAAAATGGCGGAAAAAAACTCTAGGCGGACCTTAACAGTCCTTGAAGCTTTTTTGTAGAGCACATTGAGCTGCACTTGTGTGAGAAATTTCAAGTCAATCGGACTTACGGTGTGTGCTGATCCCTGTTTTACTGACACTACTGACCCCCGGTGGACGTTGACGGTGGTTTTAATTTTTTTTTTGGTAATAATTTCCTTCCACCATTTTGTTTTCAGTTGAGCAACGAGCTATATACCATGTGCACGCAAGACAGTTATTTCCTTTCGATCGAGCCTTGGAAAAGATATGTCCGTGAGTAAAAATGTGACTAGAAAAGATTGTAGATGTTAATAGACATATGAAAAAGTAGTTTATGTTTATTGTATTAAGTTTATGGAAGTTCGCCACATGTAACCATTTACATGGTCATCTTTAGTTCATACTCATGGATATGTGCTATATGTACTGTCTGCTGTATACTGATTCATGCTTCGTATTGTATTTTGTTTAGTTTTACAGAAACGACCATCAGTAAAGCCTCAGTCTGTCTTACATACGGTTTTCTGGAGTTTTTGTTTGCTATCTGTCTAGCTCAGGACAGCAGTCGTGAGGACAGAATACGGTGTAAGGGGCGTGGCCTTTCAAAGTTTGTATTTTTAAGCGTTAATTATAGCGCCACCATGTGGCCGATTGGGTTCATATCTCTATGGAAGCTGGTGCACACCATTTCCAGTTATTCCCCCAAGTTTCATGTTTCTAGCTCATTCCAGCTCACGGAATTTGAGCCGGCGCAGCAGAAAACAAATCATAAATATAGCCGCAATGGCGATTCGCGGGTTCATACCTTTTTCGCCATCAAAAAAATTTCACACGTGGTTCAATATTGTTACGTTTTGTAACGATAGGACAAGCATTTTCTGAGCTATAGCTTGATTTTTATGATTTCATGTCCAGTTACGATGCATTTATAGCGCCCCCTAGTGGTCGATTTGAATGAGACTTTCAGGGTATGTGTGAAGTGCTTGTAGACATATCCTGGAAGTTCTGTGTTCCGAGCCGCTTCGCGGTACTGGGCACCGCGATACCTTGCATTCACGGGTTCCCAGCCCACTTCGGGCTTGAACCCCTATTGTAATCGTTCTCATTTTTATTAGGGGTCCGAGCCCGAGTGAGCTGGGAACCCGCGAATGCAAGGCATCGCGTCTCCCAGCGTAGCTGGGAACCCTATTGTAATCGCTCGGATTTTTATTAGGGCCCGAGCACGACCGTGTGAGGTCCCTATTGAATTTGCTATTATTTGTTTATTTTTAATTTTTTTAGGGCCTGAGCACGACCGTGCGAGGTCCCTATTGAATTTGCTCGGATTATTAGGGCCCGAGCACGACCGTGTGAGGTCCCTATTGAATTTGCTCTAATTATTTTTTTTTTTTCTGCAAAGTAGGCTCAACTGACATGGCCTAAACATACTCGAAAATTCACCAAAATTTGCAAACATGTCAGAACCGGTGAAAAATTTCGTATTCTACAAGTTTCGCACATGGGCGTTGCAAAATGACTCGCTAGCGCCACCTAGAAAATTGGAAAAAATTAGCCCCTCGTTCACGTTCAACCTACATGTACGAAATTTTCTGGGGACATGTATCATATCAAGACGCACAAAAAGCCTCAAGAACCCATAGCCTAAAGTCAACAGGAAGTCGGCCATTTTGAATTTTACGGCCATTTTTGGATGATTTACACACTTCGTACTTTAACGAACTCCTCCTAGGGATTTAGTCGGATCGACGTCAAATTTCTGCTGTGCCTTCTAAAGGCATTGACGATGAAAAGTTGTGCTATTTGCGCATTTTCGTCAATGGGCGTGTCCGGGCGTCGATGATTCGTTATGAAACAGGAAGTTGTTGTAACTTCAGTGTACATGCTCACATCTGGACCAAACTGTACATGTAGGATGAGAGTCCCGCCCTGAACACATGTACATGCCGACATTCACCCACAGTCATAGCGCCACCTGCTGGCAACAGAAAGTGACCTTTAACAAAGCAGCCCCCGCCGCACGTTTCACCTACGTGCACGAATTTTCTGTGGTACGTGTATCTTGTCCACACGCACAAAAAAGTCTCTTGGAGCCATAGTCTAATCCCAACAGGAAGTCGGCGATTTTGAATTTTACGTCAAAGTTTGGATGATTTACACACTTCGTACTTTAACGAACTCCTCCTAGGGATTTAGTCCGACCGACCTCAAATTTCTGCTTTGCCTTCTAAAGGCATTGAAGATGAAAAGTTGTGCTATTTGCAAGTTTCCGTCAATGGGCGTGTCCGTGGCGTGGCGTCAAAGATCAAGTCTTCGCCATGACACGGAAGTTGTCGTAACTTCAGTGTATATGCTCACATCTGGACCAAACTGTACATGTAGGATGAGAGTCCCGCCCTGAACACATGTACATGCCGACATTCACCCACAGTCATAGCACCACCTGCTGGCAACAGGAAGTGACCTTTAACAAAGCAGCCCCCGCCGCACGTTTCACCTACGTGCACAAATTTTCTGTGGTACGTGTATCTTGTCCAGATGCACAAAAAAGCCTCTTGGAGCAATGCCCTAAAACCAACAGGAAGTCGGCCATTTTGAATTTTACGTCAAATTTGGATGATTTACACACTTCGTACTTTAACGAACTCCTCCTAGGGATTTAGTCCGACCGACTTCAAATTTCTGCTGTGCCTTCTAAAGGCATTGAAGATGAAAAGTTGTGCTATTTGCGAGTTTTCGTCAATGGGCGTGTCCGTGGCGTGGCGTCAAAGATCAAGTCTTCGCCATGACACAGGAAGTTGTCGTAATTTCAGTGTATATGCTCACATCTGGACCAAACTGTACATGTAGGATGAGAGTCCCGCCTTGAACACATGTACATGCTGACATTTACCCACAGTCATAGCGCCACCTGCTGGCAACAGGAAGTGACTTTTAACGAAGCAGCCCCCGCCGCACGTTTCACCTACGTGCACGAATTTTCTGTGGTACGTGTATCTTGTCCAGACGCACAAAAAGCCTCTTGGAGCGATGCCCTAAAATCAACAGGAAGTCGGCCATTTTGAATTTTACGTCAAATTTTGGATGATTTACACACTTCGTACTTTAACGAACTCCTCCTAGGGATTTAGTCCGACCGACTTCAAATTCGTGCTGTGCCTTCTAAAGGCATTGAAGATGAAAAGTTGTGCTATTTGCGAGTTTTCGTCAATGGGCGTGTCCATGGCGTGGCGTTAAAGATCAAGTCTTTGCCATGACACAGGAAGTTTGTAACTTCAGTGTATATGCTCACATCTGCACCAAACTGTACATGTAGGATGAGAGTCCCGCCCTGAACACATGTACATGCTCACATTCACCCACAGTCATAGCGCCACCTGCTGGCAACAGGAAGTGACTTTTAACGAAGCAGCCCCCGCCGCACGTTTCACCTATGTGCACGAATTTTCTGTGGTACGTGTATCTTGTCCAGACGCACAAAAAAGTCTCTTGGAGCGATGCCCTAAAATCAACAGGAAGTCGGCCATTTTGAATTTTACGTCACATTTTGGATGATTTACACACTTCGTACTTTAACGAACTCCTCCTAGGGATTTAGTC